CCTGGGGGTGCTCAGGCCCTGCGGCCTGGGGGCACCGGGGCCCCCCCCGGATTTTATCCCAGCCAAGGTCCCCCCTTCCCGCTGAGCCAGGTGTGCACCCAGCACTGAAATTTGGGGGGCTCTAATTTCGGGGGAGGCTCTGCTTCCGTACCTAGTGATGGGGAGGCTTGGGGGTCACCCTCCGCGATTTGGGGGAGCAGCCCCGCCCTGTGCTTTGGGGGTGCCTGGGCAGCAGCACCCCCAAAGCACTTCAGTGACGATGCCCTTGGGGGGTGGGTGGGTCAGCGCCGGCGTTTTGGGGGTCCCCGGGCTGGGGGGTTGGCTGAACCCTGACACGCGGTGGCACTGCAGCATCAACCCCGAGGTGCTGGGTGACCCCAATTCGGGGTGGGGGTCACGGGGGTGCGCCCGTGGGTGTGCTGAGGTATGTCCGTTCTCAGCGCCTATTGGTGCACTGAGCTGTCGGTTCGCAGCTCCCGTGGGTGTGTTGAGCTGCACCTGTTCTCAGCCCCTGTTCCCGTGGGTGTGCTGAGCTGCCCGTTCTCAGCAGCTGCTCCCCCTGGTGCACAAGTGGTCCCGGTTCTCAGCCCCTGCCCCACTGCTGCACCGAGCCGTGCTCGTTCTCGGCCACCACCCACATCGGTGCGTTGAGTTTTGCCCGTTCTCAGCTGCTGTTCCCATCGGTGCACAAAGCTGGTTCTGAGCTCCCATCTGTGCACTGAGCTGTGCCCGTTCCCACAGCAGTGTGCTGAGCTGCACCCATTCTCAGCCACCATGCTCATCAGTGAGCGCACTGAGTTGTGCCTGTTCTCAGCCACTGCTCCCATCAGTGTGCCGGGCTGTCCATTCTCAGCTCCCTGTCATGTGCTGAGCTGTGCCTGTTCTCAGCTCCTGCTTCCATCGGTGCACTGAGCTGTGTCTGTCCTCAGCCGCCACCCTCAGCGATGTGACTGTTCTTGGCTGCCACTTCCATCAACGTGTCGAGCTGCCTGTTCTCAGCTCTCAGTGCACTGAGCTGTGCCCGTTCGTGGCCACTGGTCCCACTCATGCACCGTGCTCGGCCCATTCTCAGCTGCTGCTCCTCCCATCAATGCACTGAGCTGCCTGTTCTCAGCTCCCGTCGGTGCACTGAGCTGGATCCATTCTCAGCCACTGTCCCCACACTGCCCCGACTGGTGCCCGTTCTTGGCGGCTGCTCCCATTCTCAGTTCCCACCAGTGCACTGAGCTGTGCCCATTCTCAGCTGTCGGTCCCATCCGTGTATTGAGCTGCACCCGTTCTTAGCTCCCATCCGTGCACCGAGTTGTACCCGTTCTCAGCCGCAGTCCGTTAGTGCGCACGCGCTGAGCTGTGCCCGTTCTCTGTGCCCATCACTGTGCTGAGCTGTGCCCGTTCTCAGCTGTCACTTCCTCAGGGGGTGCAACCGAGGCCGGGCGGTGCAGGCAGCAGAGGATCCCCCCCCCCCGTCCCGGGTGTTCCCAACCTGCCAACTCGTCACCCCTGGGGCAGGGCGGGGCCACCCGGGCCTTATCTGCGGGGTGCAGCTGTGGGGTATCTCGGTGGCTCCTTCCCAATCCGTGTTTGGGGCATGGTGCGGGTGCCGGGGGTGACTCCGCGCGTCCCGCAGGATGAGCACGGCCGCCAGCCCCGAGCCCCTGCCCGAGCCCCCCGGGCCCCGCTGCGCCCCCCAGGACGGCGCCGAGTTCCTGCGGGCGCGGGGCGGGGGGGGGCGACCTGCGCCAGGACTTCAACCTCATGGAGCAGAAGAAGCGGGTGACCATGATCCTCCAGAGCCCGGTGAGCCCCTGCCCCCGCGCTGTCCCCGCGCTGTCCCTTCTGTCCCCAAACCCCCTCTCTTGTCCCCAACCCCAGCCCTCCTGTCCCCCATCCCGTCCCGCTTGTCCCCAAACCCTGTCTTTCGCGTCCCCAAACCCTTCCTTCCCGTCCCCCACCCCATCCTTTCTGTCCCCAGCCCCTTTCCCTCTTGTCCCAGCCTTCCTGTCCCCAAGTTCAGCACTCTTACCCCAACCCCATTCTTTGTGTCCCTGCCCCATCCCTCCTTCCCCCGCCCTTCCCTCCTGTCCCCAGGCCAATCGGTGCCACCGCGATGCCACCAAGTGTTGGCTCGGTGCATGTCCCCACCTGCCAACGTCACTGCTCCAGTGCTGCTGTCACTGAGCTGCCAGTGCCCCCGCTGCCACTGTGCCACCACGCCAGTGGTGACACTGCCACCAAGATGGTGATGCCACCATCGCTGTGCCACCGAGCCAGTGGTGCCACCAGGCCAGTGGTGTCGCTGGCACCAAGCAGTGCCACCATCACTGTGTCACCAAGCTGATTGTGTCACCGACATTGAGCTGCTGGTGTCCCTAACACCAAGCTGGCAGTGCCAGTTCCACCAAGCCGGTGATGTTGCCCTCCCCCACCCCCCCATGTCCCCAATGGTCCTCCCACGTTGTCACCGTGTGCCTGGGTGCCGCAGTCTTTCCGGGAGGAGCTGGAGAGCCTCATCCAGGAGCAGATGAAGAAGGGGAACAACTCGTCGCACGTGTGGGCGCTGCGGCAGATCGCCGACTTCATGGCCACCACGTCCCCCGCGGCCCTGCCCACCTCCCCCATGGGTACGCGGGGCACGGGGGGGTTTGGGGGCACTCACGGGAGATGTAATCTGTGGGGGCGTGGGTGGGAAAACCCGCAAAACCTTGGGAGCCACCAAACCTTTGAGGGGCACCAAAATCTTTGGGGCCACACCTTGAGGGTCACCAAATCTTTGGGACCTTTGGGATCCCCAAAACCTTTTGGTTCATCAAACCTTCGAGACCTTTGGGACCTTGGGGGGCCACCAAACCCTTGGGAACCCCACAACACTTTGAGGAACACCAAATCTTTGGGGCCACCAAACCTTGGGGGCCAACCAAACCTTCAAGGCCTTGGGGACCCCCAGAACCTCGAGGACCACCAAACGAACCTCGGGGACCACTAAGACCTTTGGGGTCACTGAACCTTGAGGGCCAGCAAAACATGGGGGCCACCAAACCCATCCCCACAACTCCCCACTGCCCTGTCCCTGGTGAACCCCCCTGAGGCTCGGGGGGTCCCAGCGCTGACAGGGGGTCCTCAATGCCCAGGGCTGGCGTCAGTGACCCCCATTAACGACCTGCACGGGACGGAGGGGCCGGCGCTGGCCAAGGGCGAGCGGCTGATGCGCTGCAAGGTGGGCAGCATCCACCGGCTGCTGGACCTGTACGGCTGGGCACAGCTGGGGCACGCCGCCGTCACCGTGAGCACCCCGAAACCGGCACGGGGGGGTTGGGGGAGGGCCTAGGGAAGTTGGATCAGGGTTGTCTAGGGGGGATTTGGGGGAGTTAAGGGGGATTTGGGACCTGCTGGACCTGTACAGCTGAGCGCAGCTGGGGAATGCCACTGTCATGGGAGCACCCCACACCTTGGACAGGGAGGATTGGGTTGTTTCTGGGGGATTTCGGGGAGTTTGGGGTTATTTTGGGGGTGTTGGAGGGGATTGAAGGTGTTTTGGGCCCTGCTGGACCTGTACATCTGGGCACAGCTGGGGAATGCTGCTGTCACTGTGAGCACCCCAAAACCGGGATAGGGGTGCTTGGGGTGTGTTGGGGTTGTTTGGGGGGGACTTAGGGAAGTTTGGTGGCAGGTGGGGGGTTTTAGGGAGATTTGGGTGAGCTGGGGGGGTTTGGGACCTGCTGGACCTGTACAGCTGAGGGCAGCTGGGGCACGCTGCTGTCACCATGCGCACCCCAAAACTGGGATGGGGGGCCTTGGGTGGTCTGGGGGGATTGGAGGAGTTTGGAGGGAAGCTGGGGTTATTTGGGGGGAATTAGGGGGGGATTGGAGGGGTTTTGGATCCTGCTGGGCCTGTACAGCTGGGCACAGCTAGGGAATGCTGCTGTCACCACGAGCACCCTGAAACCAGAATGGGGGGGCCTGGGGGCTTTGGGGGGAGTTTCAGGGGAGTTGTGGTTTTTTGAGAGGGGTTTCAGGGGGTTTGGGTTGTTTTGTGGGTGTTTGGTGTTGTCTGGGGCGTTTGGGGCCCTGCTGGACCTGTACAGCTGGGCACAGCTGGGGCACATCATCATCACCATGAGCACCCAGAAAGGCCATGGAGGGCTGGGGTTGTTTGGGGGTTGTTTTATGGGGATTTGGGGGAGTTAAGGGGGTTTGGGGACCTTTGGGGGGGTTGGAGATTTGGGGGAAGTTGGGGATTTTTAGAAGGTTTGGAGAGTTCTTGAGGGGAGTTGGGGGTTTGGGAGGTTGGGATTTTGGGGTGTTGGGGATTCTGTGGTATTTTTTTGGAGGGGGAGTTTGAGGGGCTTGGGGCTTTGTGAGTAGTTGGGGAGTTCTTTAGGGGTGTTGGTTTGGGGGGGAGATCGTAGATTTTTTTAAGGGTTTGGGAGTGTTTGGAGGGGTCATTTTCGGGGGGGGATGCAGGATGTTTTTGTGGGGATCTTGGCTTGTTTTTCACACCCCTCTGTCCCCCTCTGTGACAGCTGAGGGTCAGCAAGGAGCAGGAGCACTTCTTGGTGGCCCCTCAGGGGTTGGCGTGCAGCGAGGTGACCGCGGCCAGCCTGGTGAGCCCCCCGCCCCTAACCCCGACCCCACGCTGGCTGTCTGGGGGGGCAGGCCCGGCCCCCCTGACGCCGCCGCGCCCCCCAGGTGAAGGTGAACGTGCTGGGGGCCGTGGTGGAGCCCGGCAGCACCGGCTTCGCACCCGACGCCCGCAGCTTCAGCCTCCACGCCGCGATCTACGCGGCGCGCCCCGACATCCGCTGCATCGTGCGGCTGCACACCCCGGCTGCGGCCGCTGTACGGACCGGGGGGGTCTGGGGGGCCTGGGGGGCTGCACACCCCGGC